ACCCCAACACTTTGAGTAAAATTATTAGCAGGAAAATTGAAAGATAAGGATTTAACAGTGATTAATTGCATTTAACATTATGTAAATGCAGGCATGTTTTTATAAAACACCTAATTTAAGTCCATTTTCATCAGTTGCTTCTATTGATAGTATTTCTGGCTCTCTTGGCAATAGTATCAAAGTTATCGATTAATGTATCATAATTAGGATTAAGAGTCATGATCTTTTTAATATGTCTTTATTTCTCCTCCTACGTTAATACATCTCCTGGAATCTTCGTAAATGCTGAAGTAAACCAGAGCTCTTTATATTCAACTGGGAATCTTAAACAAAATTCGACAACTACATCAACAAATTTATTGATAATTTGTTTTGAAGGAGCACTTAAAATCACATTAATGTATTTATCAACTACACTAATGCCATTTTATAAGAAGTAGTTCCAAATAATCTATAAAAGCTCTTAATTATACATTTAATAGGAAAATTTTTGACATTATTTAGATGAAGATTTCAACTTACAATTTCATTGGGATCAATACCGGCATTCAGTATTTCTTGTTGATTATTAAGATCTGCAACTTAAGTTAAATCTTTATGGAGTGTCTGCAAAAGAACAATAATAAATTCTGTATGAGTTTCAATTGCATCCTTGTGTTCAATACCTATACCACTTATCCATATTGATATCAATGAATCTAAGTGAGTGCTTCTAAAAATTATTTGCTTGTTGAGTTTCAAATATCTTAGGCACATTCCGAAATAATCAAATGCTATATCTGGATATTACTCAAACTAAGTTAGATTAATGAGCAATTAAGATGTTCTTTAAGTTATCATATTGAACGACTCCAGAAAAATCTATTCATAGTCTCTAAACTGATGATATTCAACTAAACTGAATTCAATAGCATAAATGAATCCTGGAATTGGATTTTTCTATAGATTAATATTGAAAATTGGCATTATTTTTTACTTCATAAGCTTTAACACAAAGCTGGAGGAATGGTATTAGATAACTATCAAATCTTCTTTACAAAATCCTAACACAATGCTTTACTAGTCTTACATTCTGCTCTACTATTTCATCTATATGCGTAAATGTGTTGAAATTGTCTTCTAAGAATTTAGTCCATAGATCAGAAAATAGGCCTTCAAATGGGTTCACTTGTCTTTCGCTCAATTTTTTACAGCCTTTTAAGAAATCACCAATTAGAATCATAAAATCACTGATATATTTAATTGTGCCCTCATTAATGTCTTAGGCTTTCACAGGAGAACCTTCTCTTTTAAACTATTACTTTAAATTATCGATCTTTTCAATCAGTGGAATTGCAAAAGACTGTATAACCTTTTGCATGCATTACTCACAGATTGATTAATCTTAAATCTCTTCTACTAAAGCAGAAACTCCATCAACTATCAAAAGATATTACTGTTTCGTGGACCAATCAGGGGCTGGGTATGGTATCGCTAAATTAGTTAATGAACAGAAATTACTTTTTTGAATTATTTCAGGAGCAAATACTGCAAGTGCTTTGGCATTATCAACGCACAGCTTTTGAAAAGCTTTCGAACATGAAGGAGTTGAATATTTGTTATTGAAGCCCTAGATTACATAATCGACAAATTTCTTAACATCCTCCTGTGCATTTAATCCACTATTTTTATATTAAATAAAGATTTTCTTACTGCTCCTTCATAATTTTAGACAATGCTGAAAAAAGATTAGCTCCTGCTCTTCTAAGAGCAACATAATCAGTTGGTAGTTAGTATATCAACTAGATTATGTCATTGAGAGTGCCAACCTGATCGATTGTTAAAGTCTAAGCAAGATCAGAGATGCAAGCAATAATGCATTCAATGCTTGCCCACTCAGATACTTTTAACTCTTGCTTTTGAGCAAGAAGTACATGACCTTAAAGCTTACTTATAAATACAGAGTAAACTGCCTGTGGACCACAAGTTTTGCAAATGACTTGAATTAATTTTCCAAAATCACTTCTTACCCTAAATTAGTATAAAATCATGGATTATTAATTACAAGTTAAAGTCATCGAATTGTTCATCAAATTCTGATACATAATTGAAGTCTTCAAACATATCATCGTCTGCTTTCATTTATTCTACGATCTACTACAAAAGCTTCAGTAGTATTGGTTCGATTTACATTAACTTTGCAGTCTTTTGTTCTGGATTTTCTATTTTACTGATTCCTTTGAATAGCTATTTCCAGAATGAAACTTATCTTCTGCTTCCTAAAAACATTAAAATAATTGAATTTGTTGGCTACTTATTTCTGGAATGTTCATCAGCTTAAGAAGAATCTCTGGAATAGTAAACGCTGCAGTCTCGATTATTTGATTAATATGAGTCTAGCCGAGTTCTACAAATATTTCAGTTAATTACTCTCCCAAGTTCTCATCTCTCTCATCAATAGCTTAGTCAACTCTACTCATTAAGCTGCCTACTTTTTGAATCACTGCTTCTCTAATACTTTCAAACTTTGCTGGATCTTTTCTAGATAAAGTAATTAATTCAATAACACAGTTAGTTGCATTCTCCAAGTTTTCATCCTTGTTTTCGAGCTCAGAGAATACGAATTGGATCAAATCTGGAAATTGAGTAGTAAGGTTGGTGATCACCTCATCTGGCAATTTGAGTTTTATCCAATTATAAAATGCGTCTACTAGCTTAGATTTAAGCTTTTGTAGCTTGTAATCATCAGTGCTTTCTAAATTAATGACTTATTGGTTAATCTTCTGTGCCCATAAATTGAAGATTTATTCGAATACTCTGCCAGAGATTTCATCTAAATATTTAAAGTAGTTAGATCTTAAAGAGTCTTCTATCACTATGCTATCGTTGTCACAGTCAGAGGCCATATATTTTAGAATCATTAATAAGCAAGTGGCCTGCTCAACTGTATTAGATAGATCTTAAATTAATTATTCAATCATATCTGGCCAATTCTCGTTAATATGCATTATTAAAATCGCAATAGCAGTGCAAATGCAGTTGATAAGGAAGGGTGGCTTTTCCTAGGCAGTCATTTTCTTCAAGATAACTATAGTTGAGATGATTAAGATATGCAAATAATGGTTAAATAAGTGAGTTTACTCAATAGATTGTCTCTTATTTGAAATGAAATGTTGTAATCTTAATTTCTGAGATTAGCAAAGTCATACATCATCTTATTCTTAAGTACATTAGCTGCATGGAAGTATTCCTAGTTTATAATTATACAAATCTATCTGTAATACCTTATCTAAGAGACCATCAATGGTCAAGACTTGAATGGCAATACCCCAAGCTTAATGAGTTTTGGAAAATTGAGTTAGCAATATGTCGGCTTGTTTGTAAGTCTCAGGATCAAATTGCGAACTAGTTGATATATCTAAGACCTTGACAAGACCAAGGTAAGTCTATAGAGTGTAAGTGCTTGGATCTAGATTTAAGCTAGCTATGTTTTAGCTTTCCATTATATCAAACTTATAAGTAAGTATAGTTTATGATTATTATTTTGTTTGATTTGCTTTAATGTAATGAGCCAATTAAAGAAATTATGATTGATTTAAAGTCATCCAAATGGGGTTTTGGGGTTTTGGGGTTTTGGGG